ATTTTAAATGGAAAGAGCACAGACAAAGCCTTAGTTTGTTTATATGAAGAGATTTCTTTTGTGTAACTTGCTTGTTTGATTTGGGGTTTGTTTTAAAATTTCAATTTAGTTTTGTTATATTTCAATTTCACAAAGAAAAGTGCAGCAATAGCCTAATAAAAGGACACCTTTTCATTTTTACTGTATAATGTCTTCAATCTCATTTTGTTACAAAAAAAATCGTGAGAAAATCGAGTCGTGAATCGAACCGTGAGTTGAGTGAATCGTTACATCGCGATCCCGCGGTAGTTTGAGGGAAACTGTGACCGATGGAGGGTGAAGCCTGTGGGAGGAGCAGGAGATGGTGTTGGGTTCCACCTCCTCCCCTGACCTCCGCTGCGCTCCTCTCTCTCTCATTGTGCTCCTCGTGGCCGAGATGGAAGCGGAGCGACCGGCGGAGAACAAGCGCAGCAGAAAACCCGCTCACCCCGTGAAGAGAGACGCGCGAGAGGAGATGAAGGTACGTGTTTCTGTTTTCTTGTGTTAAAACCAGCTCTGACTCTGGCGACTTGCTGCTGCGAAACTTCTGTCAAGCCGGATGACTAAAGAAGTTAAGCTGGTTGAGAAGCTTTGGTACACTAGCTTCCGTTAGTGAGCGATATAACATCTAGTGTCGAGATATGATGTGAATGAACACTGGATCAATGCTTTGTTATGCGTCCCATTCCGTTTTTAAAAAGATGAAATATTTATTATAAAAATATATTTTTAAATAAAATATTAAATCAATAAAATATATAATTTTATATCAAATAAAATGTCATAAAATATGTAATATAAAATTCCTCATTTGGATAAAAGCGTCTGCTAAATGACTAAATGTAAATGTAAAATATGACAAATAAAATATATTTGTTGTTAAAGATATTTTTGTCATTTGCTGGTGTTTTTCTGCAAGCACTTGATGTCCTCTAGATGAGCAGCTCATGATGTGATGCCAAAAATGCTGTGGACACTGGATCAATGCTTTATTTATCCTAATCCATACGTTTTTAAAAATAAAATATTTAATTATTTGAAATGTCAAAATATGAAGACGTATAAAATATGACATAAAATATTTGATATTAAAAGTCTTTGTAAATATTTATGTAAAACATTAAAAAATATATATTTCATGACAAAAGCTGTGTACACTGTATTTTGTAAGATAAAATATCTAATATAAAAATTAAGTATTTAATAAAAATATAAACCATAATATAGAAATATTTAAAAAGTAAAATATGTAATATAAACATGTTAAAAATAATAATAATGTCATATAAAAACATGAAAAAGAAAATGTATTTAATATTAAAATATTTGAAAAATAAACCAGTTAATATGAAACAAAGCAATTTCATACAAATATGAAAAATAAAATCTATTTAATATAAAATACTTTGAATAATAATAATGTAAACTATTAAAAATAACTAATTTAATAAAAATAACATATAACATTTAAAAAATGCGAAAAATAAAATATATTTAATGTTACAATACTTTACAAACATATTTAATGTACAACATTTAAAATATATTTTATAAAAATTATATTTTTAATATTAATATATTTTAAAAAGATCAAATAAAATATGCAATAAAACATTTCAAAATACTAAAAATATTTAAATTAATTATGACTGAATCACTCAGTTGCATTACTAACAAAAGTAATTTTGCAGGGCAGATCATGTAGCATTAAATCCTTCTGATCACAGCTCCACATTTTCCACAGCAGCTCGCATCAGATGCTGCCCACAGTGCTGTCTAAAGCTGACTGCATTGAAGCACAGCCACGGACTGCGCTGATGTACTGACTGACTGGAGCGTTTCTGTGCAGCTGCAGGAGTACCGGCTCCAGATGTGCTGACACCGTCACCTTATTAAAGCTCTGGCGTTTACTCAAGAGCTGATACGTGACACGCCGTGTTTATTCGCTGGGCCCGAGCGAGATCCACTGGGGGTGTAGAGTTACAACTGAACTAACTTTAATCCAAACACATGAAACCGAAGCCTGGCGTGCTGCAAGCGGCCCCGGGCCCGAGGAAGGGGTCTCGGCGGGTTTGTTGGCTTTGGATCAGGAAAATGGATGCAGGAAATTCGCTGCTTTTTTTGACAGCTGTAATCTCGAAGGAAACACGCATGCGGTGGTGATGACGGATGAGCGTTTGTCTCTTTCTAACATCAGTTTTTCCTAGAAGTGCTTCTCCTGCTTCTTATTTTACACGGGATATCACGTGGAGACACAATGGTGCCAAAATATGTATCATACAAAACTAATTTACATGTAACATTACATGCACATATCTACTTACATATATAAAATTACAAAGATATAATATAGATATAAAGATATAATGTTTAATATAAATGATATAAAAATATAACTATTTAATAATAAATAAAAAAGTAATTAATAATAATCGACATATTTAAAATAAATAACATAGTTATTATCTAAATTACACTATAAATTAAATAAAATAGTTATAAATAAAATATACTA